CTCACAGAAGATGTGATGAAGCTGCATCAAGTATTGACATCCACAGCAGAGGAGGCAAAAGTGAAACTCATGGAAGTGCCTAACCCTAAAGCATACAAGATTCTCAGTGAATGCCTTCTCTCACAAATCATACTTTTCAACTGAAGACGGCAAGGTGAGGCAGCAAAATTGCCTCTGTTGACCTATAGGAACAGAACCAAAGAAGAACCAAATGAGGACATTATGCAGTGCCTTTCAAGAAGCTCTTTACTCTGCCTGCAGCTGCATCATTTTCAGCCTTTATATGATCCCCAATCACAGTTTTTCAGCATCACTATGAGACAGGATGCTCCTGATTTTTGCAATATTGCGCAGGTGAAAGAAGGCAGTTCTAGAGACTTGGTTTATGTGTTTTCCCCAAAATGTTTTTCAGTTATCTATGAAGCCTACGTTATTTTCTGGGCACCACCTAGCCAGCCAGCGGCTGAATGACGACATGCGGCTAAACATGTCATCACTGGTCAGATTGGGCAGGTTCCAGAGAAAACTACGGAACATGTATACACACTTAGTTTCTCTGAGTGTAGAATCTGTTTTTCGGTGAACACAGATGCACTGAACCATATATCCTGAGCTCAAAGCCAGAATAAACGGGTTCGGTGAATGTGACGCCATACATCATATTGTGTGAGGACGTGTGTGCGCCCGCCAAGACCTTGACTCTGATTCTGATTCTGATTCTGATCAGTACAGCTGCTGTCGGACAGTCTGTTACAAAACTGTAGCCCGTTAGTTTTGGTATTTCTGCAGTAGTACGTCCTAAACCACAGTATGATTCTGACTGTTACGTAAATGTGCTTTGGTCTATCTGCAGTGGCCTGTTTTCCTTTTTTAGTTCTTTATGTTAATAATAGAATCACAGAAGGTACTTCTGGACTTTAATGGACTTTATCAGTGATAGTTTCAGCAGCTGGAAGTGCAAATATTTATATGATCTGACCCCTGAAACCATCACTGATAAAGTCACTGAGGCTGTCCAACTGCATACAAGCTGCGTCCTGATTTACTAAATTCTCTGGACGTATGTACTGTACTTATCTGTGATTATGTGGCTGCAAACATCTTGTTCAAACAGAGAACAGGCTGGTAAATGCTATGCCTATGTTGGAAGCATGTATTGTCACATTTAAAAACTTTTATATGGACTTACAAATATGAAGACTTAACATGTAGTCATACTTTAGTGTCTTTTCAAGTATGAAATGGATTTTCTTAGTCCTTCCTATGAAAGTTCATTTGACTTAATTCAGTTAAATGTCACTTGGCTCATCTCTGTTGGCAGTCTTTTGTTATTTGGGGTTATGTTTCGTTGGATACATGGGGCACGTCTGTTACAGATCCTTCGTTTTGCTCTGACACTCACTGTAGCTCTGAAATCTCATACAAAAACAGCTTATTTCAAGGCTGTGTCTTGATATTATGGCCAAAGTCAAGATTTAGATGAGCCATCATCTTCAGTCTGCATTTAACTTCTTGTTGGGATTTAGTAAGACTCTCTGAATGAATAAACACATGAGATGATGTAATAACAAATGTGTGAAGTAAACACTTTGTGCCTCAACAGCGATGGATTCAGTGAGGTAAAACTGAGCTGTTGTAGGGGACTTATCAGCCAGAAGGTGCAGGGGCCATTTGATCCAATAGTACAACTAGAGAACAAGCCGACATCTTAAATTGTGTGTAAGTAACACAACAGAACAGTAAACAACTTCTCAAACAGTTATTGGAAAACAAGTATTCAAACTGTAAATAAATGAATTGGTAAATATTTCCTGATAATGGAGCTACATCAGAACAGACTGAGATGCTCTATTAAATATGGGAGACTAATGGAGGCCAGTTCTCTTTTTACGTAAAGAAAATGTTTAATGGTAACACTTTACTTAAACAGCCATAATTTTTCTGTATGATCAGTCTAATTGTATATAAAGATGTACTAACTTGTTTTGAAAGGCTGTAGTGCTGCTGGTTATTAATGTATCGCTTACCATCTTGTCTTGTGGACACCCAGCAGTGGAGGTGGTTGTATATACAGGTGAAGAGGGACAGTGCATTAAAACACAGCTACTATAATGTTAAACACATCTTAGAGCTGCTTACAGCTACTGCTAGTCTGCTAGAAACCTCTTAGTTACATCTATACATAGAGCTCACACAGGACAAAGTGTGAGTCTGTTAATGCTTAGTAAGCCTAATATGAAATACTGTATGCTTCTACCTTTTGATTCTAGCCTCTGTACCAGATCATTCATGTTGATCTTCTCTAGAATTTTGCTGGTGACTGCCACGACACAGCGGGGGTACGTCTGCACCATCAGGTCCACTGTGGTCGTCCTGTCCACCTGATCCAGTCTGAACTGGGGGATTGTTGGGAGGTCTTCCAGGATGTTGGGTATTTGCAGGTACCACTGAAACATCTTGAGATGTTCATCCTTTAAGTCCTCCAGTTGATGTAAAAAGATCTCTTTATCTGATGCCACCTTTGTTCACTGCTGAAATCGGGGGAAATTTCAGCCTGGAGCACAGTGGAGCATTTTCTTTACCAGGAATACACAAGATTTACCTCACGTGCTCATGTTGTGAGAGTTTCTAGTACTGCATGCCCTCGTCAGTGTCCGGGAGTTTGTTAAATCTACTGCAGGTGCAGTGACACCACAACTTGACCGCTTCCTTTCGTCCCCAGACTGCGAACACACACGGTCACCACACAGAGCTTCCTGTTCATCAAGCTGCACGACATCTTAGGAGCTTTAAACGGATTCCAGAGCTACTGTCTCCATGGACGTTTGATAAGAGACACAACAAGTTTCTGAAAAGCTGCAAACATCTGCTGGATCATCTGATTTAAGCTGACTGAATGTTTCTCATCTGAGAGGAGTCGTGCATATGAACATACAGTTGCAGACCCCCAGTAACGGCCTGGTCTGTAGGTTTATGATTCACTGGTTTTCTTTCTTATCCTAAAGGATTTCAGATGAACAGGTTACCACCTCAGGCAGTAAGCACTTTATTTCTTCTGACTTCAACCTGATCCCACAGCTTTTACTAAAAGGAGCAGTGTTCATAAGATGCACTCAGCTCAGACTGTGGCATGTCGCCTCTCTGTTCCATTCCTTTAAAGTACTTTGTGTGGAGAAGTGATGGTCTGGGAAAGGTTTAAACATTTATGTGAAGAGCACTGTGTCACCTGACCACAGGCCTCAGGTGACCGGACCTCCACTGTGCTCTGCAGCTGATATTCCCTGTACATGTTGTGATGTGAATCTGAGAGTATATACAGTGTGCACAGTCATAACTAAAGGTCGTCTCCCCCCTCTCTCTGACACCTATGGCCTCAGGCTACGTACGGCTCAGGTGTGCTGTTACCTGCCCAGATGTGTTCACTCTGTCAGCGTGGCAGCAGAAGCAGGTAGGCTCACATTTTCTCTCATTTTAGACCAAACGAAACCCTGTTGGTGGGCATTACTGTACGTTAGCAGCATTTCTCCATAGTCTGTAGTGACATTTTAAACTGATAGGCACAAGCTGCTCTGAGATCTGATTTATGTCTCTGCAGTCTGACGTCTTAATGACATGCTACAGGATTATTTTACATTTTTGGCATTGTTGAGTAAAGCCTTCCTCATCAGGGTAATCAGCAGATAATTAAACTCTGACAGAGTGAGGAGGGGAAGGAGATGTGTGATTTCACTCCACAACATGTGAAAGTGAACTAAGCTGACAGGTTGTGTGAAATGACGACGTCTGTGCTCATCACTGAGCTATATATATGATATTAATATTTCAGGTCTGGTGATTGAGTCACAATGTCGACTCAGCGCTCGCTCTGATGCACAGAATTGAGTTGTTTTGTCCAGTCACATGACTTGGGCTGGACTTGGGCACAGCGACACAGTGTAGTGTCGACTACGAGCTCCACAAAAAAACAAGTGACAGAGCAAAACTCAGATCATCCAGACTGGCAAACTAGAGCATTATCTCAAGGAGGGGCTGTGAAGTCAAACATCAGAGGAGCTGATCAGCAGCAGAAACAGACTTTACATTTAACTTAAGTGATGCTGGGATTCAAACCGACTATTTTACCTGTGAACCTGTGAGTGGCCAGCTGTAGGTCAGGTTTATCACTTAGCACTTAGAGGCTCCTGCTGCTGTCAGGGCCGGTCATCCTCAGGAGGCTGTGAGTCAATTCTCCTGGAGAATCACTCCACATTGAATACTTTAGTGTTATTTTTACCAGTAGCTTGGTTTATAGCACTATCCTGCAGCTGGGGGTGGGGACCCACTCTCATTGTGCTCTTATAGATCAGTTGAGAGATGAATCATTTCTTCTGAGTTTGCCCCCGGTGGTTCAGTGAACGCTGCTGGTTAGTAACACAATCTCCAAGTATTTGTCATATTTGTACAGTGAGAGCAGGTGGAGTCGTCTGTGCAACAATGACTTTAGTCTCACAATAGATGAAGGACCAGGTGTGAAAGTAGGACGACGTGTGACGGAGATTTCTGGATGTGGATGTTCACAGACTGAAGTTAAACTGGGTCTCACCACATGTGATCATATCATTTATTTTAAACGACAAGGCACTGGATGTGGACATGTTTTTAAACTGAGGAGCACTGGGTTCAAATTAGCTCGATGTCCATATTGACAGAGCCTCAGTGTTTTCTTTGAGTTTTATCTTGAAAATATTCTGATTGACGTTGTTAGAGGTCCCCAGGTTTAAAATTACACCTGGTTTAAATGCAGTAGCTCAATCACAAACCGCCAACAGTTCCTGGATAACATGGTCCATATATTTTAATACTTGTTGATCGTTCTAATGAAATCCTCTTGTCAGCCACAGAGAGCAGCCATGTGATCAGGTCAATGCCAGTTTCATCGCTCATCCTGCTCCCGAGAGATCTGTGTTTTGTTCTCATGTCAGAGTTTATGTGGGGGGTCATTACATCCCCACATTGACTCCTGGGGCTCAAACATTCCTCTTGAAGTTCCTCAGTTCCTTCAGGGTTCATAGTCCTCTGCTTTATGAACAGATCCACCAGCAACAAGGCGCACGAGCTGGATTCGTCAGTGATCAGGCAGGAAATCAGACACAGGAACTGCTCATGTTTTAATAACTGAGAATATATCTGTATAACAGCTTGTGGTTTATGTGATTGTTTTCTTTCAGAACCAAACAAGGACCAGCAGAGACCAGAGTGTATCTCACATTGGTCAGCAAAACATGATATTCATCTTTTTCATCAGTGAGTTCAATGAGTTCATCATGAGGAAGGGGGGAGGAAGGGAGGGAGGTGAGAAGGAGACAGAAGTGAAGAGTTAGTTTGCTTGTACTATTACTGAAGTCTGTGTTTGTCATAGATGAAACTGGCAGTGAGGAGTGATGTGGTGTAGTCAGGTGTCATAATGTACTGCATGTTAACATGCACTGTGTGTTCTTTGTTAAAGCTCTCTGGTCCACTGACTGAAACGTTCACACCACAGACTCACTGACATTTCCAGTGTCAGACAAAAATATTAGAATTTAAATTAAAATTTATATAAAAAAAAATATCATTTAAAAATATTACATGATAAAAACATTCTTCATATCTACAGAAACACATATTGCTCTAAAATGACAAACTGACATGTGTGTGTGACCTCCACTAGAATTTAAACTCTCTCTGCAGCTCTTCTCCCAGTAGCTCGGCTCCAGGACCTCCAGGACCAGTGTCCCGGTGGTTTCTGTAACCCCCAGCTGGGAGACCTGATGGTGGGTCGAGCAGCTCAGCTCTCAGCCTCGTCCACCTGCGGTCTGCATGGACCTCAGAAGTACTGCATCATTGGATACCTGGAGGTCAGAGGTCACAGTATAATACTGGGTATGAGTAGGATATGTAGTATAAGTAAGAGTACACGGAGCATGAGTAGAATTAAATTAATCAGGTTTAATGTGGAGAATAAACTGACACAAACCTAAAGAGTTTCATCTGCAGCAGCTCAACACACACAGAGATACACCCTATACATAAACACATGTACGCACAGATGCATACTGTACATACACACGTACGAGCCAACATACAGCAGCTGACCCCCCTCTGACTGATGCGTTTCTGGCTCGTGTTCAGACTTTCATACTGAAACATGTTCTGATCTGTCACCGTGTCGTCTCCCTCTCCTGTTAATTTTGCCCAAGGAATGTTTCCACTCCTCATTACTGCATTTTTCCTCCTTGGGCCCATCTCACATCTCTTCATTCTTAAGACCTGCACAAAAAACATACTTTTCTGTTTCATACAGAATTAAACTACAGACGAGTATTGTATCGGTACAGAGTATGGCGTCACAGTCGGGTTAGCATACCCAGTAGCGTGTTAAATGATGTTTTGACTTAGCACAGGCTCTGCAGGCAGTGTCATTATGAATCCACTGAGCTTCACGACAGCAGAAACTATTCACTGACTCTGATCTAACTTAGAGCTGCATTACACTTTTCTGATCTCTACTGTTCTGTTCAAACGTGTTCTCATTCCCAGAGCATCAGATGCTGACACGGTGTCGAGCTCCTTTGGCACCTGTATGAGCCAGAACAGGTTGTGTTCCTCTGCTGTTTGTTATTGTTCTGCAGAGCTGTCAGGTCATTACATTGTTTGCTGGGTAAAGACCTGCTTCATTGGCAGAAATGGCTCGAAGTATTGATACTGTTGTAAGAAAGAAAACAGAAGTACTGAAGTGGAAGGGTACACACACCTTTATCCCCGTCTGTAAATATGCTTATGTATTTTCCTAAACATCTTTCTAGAATATTCTTATAATTTACATTGTCCACACTGTAAAACATGTTCGGCCTCATCTTCATTCTGCTCATATATTTTATTTTTGGGTTGAGTTAGTTAGTCAGCTTTTGTTGATTCGGTGTCAGTTTGCTGACAAAACACAAAATCATTCAGACCTCTGCACTGATCAATAATCAATAAATTGAAACTAGAAAATTGTTAGCACAATAAAACTTGTGTTGAGTTAAGCAGTCTGAGGCAGTTAAATAAAATTAGATCGTATCAATAACAGACTGAGATGTTGATGTTGACTCTAAAAGGAGTATTGATAACTGATCAGTTTGGTTCAATGTGTCTTCATCCAACAGGAGGAGCAGAAATGTTTCACCTGTGACTCTCGTCTGCCGTACAGTCGCTACAGCAACAGCCACCGCATCGAGAACACCATCGCGACCTTTGACCCTGAGAGGAAAATGAAGTGGTGGCAGTCTGAGAACGGTCAGTGTAAAAGAGAGGGCGTAAAACACCATGTGACCAGGAAGGTGGACACTGTCCCATCAGAGAGGACGACTCACCTGAACTGCAGGCTCCATGTTCAACCTGAACCGTCAGAAGTGTTACACAGTAGAATGAACATGTTCACTAACTCACCTGTGTAACTGTGTCGTTGTCCCACAGGTGTTCATGATGTCAGCATCCAGTTGAATCTGGAGACAGTGTTCCAGTTCAGTCACCTGGTCCTCACCTTCAAGGTAAAACATACACTGACCATGAAACACACCTGGTCAGGTGAATCAATGATGCTCACAGGTTCGGTGACTGTATTGCTGGTACACTGTACATATACTAACCAGTGTGTACAGATACAGTGGCAGAGAACACTGAACCAATACACTCACTTCTTACTGAAAGACAACAAGTGAATTATATTTAAAAAGTAAAAAACACAAACACACCACAGGGTTGAACACCGTATCACTTCCTGTTCTCTCTCTGGCTGCAGAGTTTTCGCCCAGCGGCCATGTTGGTGGAGCGGTCAAAGGATTTTGGGCGGAGTTGGAAGATTTTTCGTTACTTTGCAGAAGATTGTTTGCTTCACTTTCCTTTGGTGTCTGCTGAGCCAGCGGCCAGCATCGACGATGTCGTCTGTGACAGCAGATACTCTGGGTCAGAGCCGTCCACTGACGGAGAGGTGACACATTCAACTCAGCTTTATTTATACAGCACAGAACATTAACACCTGAGCACTCACAGACGCACAACATACACCCAGCAGATGCTCCAGATCAGACCCACAGTATGTCTGACAAAGAAAAGCATCAGCTCCTCACATTAAAGAAGGTGGAACCAGAACATGTCGGTGACTGTTGCTTCTAATTAGCTGCTGGTTCATTTTCTACCAGTGAACTGACTCATGGCTGCAGCTCTAGGTCACTGAATGGCTTCATGAGGATGACACAGTGGGTCGGACATGGTGGGTTGGACACAGTGGATTGGACACAGTGAGGGGATCTGGTCTGGAAGGAGGAGGTTTCCTTCTCCGACAGAGGAGACCTGACGCTGCTCTGGAGACTCGGCCCTGCTGGACGCTGGGGCACAGCCTGTCCTTTCTATATATATATTTGTACAGCTTGTTTTATTGACAATATGTGTCTCTGTTTATAAATCTTCTAGATGTTTCTTCTGCTTGTCCACCAGGTGGTGCTGAAGGCCCTGGATCCCATATTTGAAATACAAAACCCGTACGCGCCACACATCCAAGGTGAGGTGGTGTGCGTGAGAGTCCTGATGTCTGATTGGCTGTTGGCCATCTCTGTCACTCAGAATTAACGTTTTACTCCTTTCAGATGTGAACAGATCACCTCATCTGTTCAGATGCATGTGTGTGCTGGTTCAGGCTCTTGTCCTTTGCTATTTTAAATTAATCTCATTTTGTGGATATGTTTCTGGTGACTTGATTACATTTTCTTGGTTTCTGGCATAACGCCTGTTCCTTTATTTTATCACTTATCAGCAGAGTTTGTCTAAGGGTTATTCTTGCTTTGTAAATTTTCATTTGCATTGTCCTGTGCACACAGGGTGTCACGTCCTGTGACTAAAGGTGGAGTGGATGAATGTGACATACAGTAGTTCAGGTCGAAATTCAAACACATTTAAAAGCAGGCCTCAGTGTGTGTGTGACTCTGCAGCTGTTTATATCAGACGCCTTAAAACTGCTCAACATGCTCTTCTCAGATCTGATCACCTTGACGAACATTCGCGTGAACTTCACTCGTCTCTTCACGCTCGGTGACACCCTGCTGGGCCGAACACACAGGGACCCTGGGGACCAGTATTACTACGCCCTTTACAACATGGTGGTCCGAGGAAGCTGCTTCTGTAACGGACATGCCAGCCGGTGCACCCCAGTGGACGCAGGGCGGGGGGACGCCTTCACCCAGACTGGCATGGTATGCACCAGGACTGGTTTGCATCAGGTCCAGACTGGTTCTGATCAGTCCAGCAGAGCCTGTTATCTTCTGAGGTGTGTGTGTGTTTTCCGCAGCAGTCTGGTTCAGTCAGATGGTCGCTGTGTCTGCAGGTTTATCAACGTGTCTGTCTGCTGGGTTCACACATCTGCAGCTTTAATGGGCTGAAGCAGAAACCTTTTACTTAGATTGGAAAATTATGATGCTTTAACCACGTGGCACATTGTTTCCTGCTGCAGATGTTAACTTATCTGCTGCTTGAATAGTGTTTAATTAAATTAGTTGGGGTACATCTTTAGTCAGAGGTGTCAAACAGCAGTTGTGTTGTTGCTCTGGGGTTTCCTCTAACTCTAAAAGGCCCAACATCCAGATGTGACCAGATGTGAAAACACAATGGATACAGTTGTAGACTGGATTTAACACTAGATGACGTTTATCACGTATGAGGATGACGATATGACGACTGTGGTCCTGTGAGCGCTGTTTTTAATGATTTCTGCGCGTTTCTTTTGTTCTTGTTGTTAATTTTTAATTTTGTTATTGTAATTGTGACGACCGCGGCCGGTCAGGGTCGCCACATTATTATTATAAATGTTATGAGACGTCTTTTCTCCAGTTAATGTTTATAAACTCTCACTATTGTCGGAACAGAGGACAAGATGCTGAACTGTGGCCTAACACACCTGGACGTCCAGGTGACGGCGCAGGTAAAGCTGTTTTCTGCTCTTCAGGTTCATGGCCGATGCGTGTGTCGGCGCAATACGACCGGAGAGAATTGTGAGAGATGTCGGGACTTTCACCACGACTCCCCCTGGAGGCCTGGAGGAGGAAACACAGCCGGCATCTGCAGGAGTAATCTAAATGAATCCTTTCCTCTGTGTGTTGATACAGAACATTAACTGGTTTGAGTTTCATATCAGGACAAAATCACTTAAAATGTCTTGATAAAATATTTTCATTTTGTAGCATGTATACTATATTTTTTTTTTCTTTAGCTAATTTTATTTTTAGTCTCTGTTGTGACAGACCAGTTACACTCTCAGCAATGTTCATTTATAGAATAAACACAAATATAAATGTTCGGTTCCACTAGTTTCTGTCTGTTAGACATAATGGCCTTTGTCTTTATCTACTCCATTTCTTTTGTGTCCTGATGTTTTGTCTCTCCTAGGGTGCAACTGTCACGGTCATTCGGACTCGTGTCACTTTGACGCCTCTCGTTTCGAAGCGACAGGTGGTGTGAGCGGAGGTGTGTGTGATGACTGCCGTCATGACAGGACAGGACCTCAGTGTGAACGATGTCGACCTTTTCTCTATCAGGACCCGGAGAGAGGGACGGACGACCCGCACGCCTGCATACGTACGCTTCAACTGCCTTCACTTACTCACTCCATGCATGTGCGTCTATTCATGATCAGACGCCTTTTACCTCCTCTTCTGTCATTAGTTTTTAAGTCTAAAAGTTAAATAAGCTCTCCACTGCTGTTTGTCTTCTGGTTGGGTTATTGGGCACCGATCAGAGTCAAGTCACAGTTGATGATTCAAAATGCAGCACTGGAGTTTACCTGCTTTAAATCACTATTCACCATTTAACAGGGTCTGCTATGAATTAAACTGCTTCATTTAAAATGCAATAGCAGCTTAAAGTTACTTTACAAATGAGAACAGAGTGAAAACGGACTCTTCTCTTTCTAAGCTCTTCTGTCAGTCTTCTCTTTCTGTCAGTTGGTGTCTTCACAACACAGGGGTTTCCAGTTCCTACAGGGGCACGAGTCCACCAAACCAGACGTTTAAACATTTGATGAGCATTACACACGTCTACATGTGCATTTTCAGTTTTACACAGTAGATGTGACCTTTTTTGTAGTGGTGTCTGCTGCACAGAGGGTCCTAGTACTATGGATTCTCCTCCTGTTTAGGCTTTAGTGAAGGTGGAAATGAGGTCGAAACAGGTTCATAGTGCGTGATGCACTGTTGATGTGATGTGATGATGTTTCCTGTGTTTCAGCCTGTGACTGTAACCCGGCTGGTTCTCAGGGAGGCGGCCTCTGTGACGCTCTGACCGGTCGCTGCGTCTGTAAACAAAATGTGGAGGGTCGTCGCTGCGATCACTGCAAACATGGCTTCTTCAGTCTGAGGCAGGACGACCCGGCCGGCTGTCAGGGTGACACGTGAACTCTGATTTAGTTATTTAAGCAGCAGTCGGCCAGAGAAGCTTCATGTTTCACGTTAACGTTTATATCCAGTGTAGCTGCTGCTCGTTTAATTTCTCTCACTGAGACATTCAGGTTCGTTTATTATGTCTGATGTTTTCTCTATGGGTTTTGTGTTTCAGTGTGCAGGTGCCATGTTTTGGGAAGCGTCGGATCATGTGATCAGCTGACAGGAAGTTGTGAATGTGATCGTTTTGCAGTTGGACCACTGTGCGATAGATGTCAGGTGGGTTTCATTTTAAAGGACCGGTGTGTAAAATACAATGCATCTCTTAATGACCCCCTATGGTTTCACACCTAGACCGAAAAACAAACTAAAATGAATATAGTGAAAACCGTACAGAGGCAAGAGACGAGTACAGAAGACTGACATGAGTAGATAAGACACAGATACGGGTAAAAATACATTTCTTTACGCTGCTCCTGATACACAGAACAGTCTCTGGATGGGATTTGTGCAAAATAACAAACATAAAAAATCTCTGGCTGCATCCTTTCAATGTTAAATAGCAAACATCAAAGCCAATAAACACACCTGAGAAAAAGTGTCTGTGTTGTGTTCAGACAGGTTTCTGGGGTCTGGGAAACTCTGTGTTCAGATGTTCACCCTGCGACTGTGACGTTGGAGGAGCTCGCAGCAGCATGTATGTTTCCTCTCATTTCTTCTGCTTGTAAAACACGCACAGCCGGAATTTGTTTTATACAGAAACAGGTTAATAAATAAAATTGAATTATGAAGGTTAGGTCCCACCATGAATCAGGAATCTATTTCACAAACAAAATCTGCACAGAATAGCACATTTAGCAGGAAACGGCATCAGATAGATCAGCAGAGGAGGACTCTCTGTCTCAGACAAACACTGAGCAACAAAAGCAAACAAACTTTGTTTACAGTTTGTAACTTCAACTTGAAACAGCGTCTGTCAGTAAATCAGTCCGACAGACTTCATCATCATCATCATCAACTCTATTTATATAGCACATTTAACACAGCCGAAGTTGACCAAAGTGCTTAACACAATATCCACACACCCTTTAAAAAACAACATAAACCAGCAGCAGAACAAAAACATCATACTCGAAATGAACTGTGACAGGAAACAAATCCCGCATTTGGACTTCAGGAGAGACTTCATCTGTCTCCTCAGGTGTTCTCAAGAGGACGGACAGTGTCACTGTTTGCCAGACATGATTGGTCGGCGCTGCTCTGACCCCGCCCCCGGGTACTTCCTGCCTCTACTCGACTACTTCCTGTATGAGGCGGAGCTCGCTGCCCCGCTCTCTGCAGGAAGCTCCTCTTCTTCTTCTACTTCCATTGTTACTCCATCTCCTTCTCAGGTGTGTAACACTGATGACAGCATTAACGTGTATTTTACATGTAGTATATGTGTGTATCTTTACCTCAAGCCAGTACTTTTCCAAAGTGTGACTAGAATGAAATATTATGGTGTTTTTTGTATGTAGTATTTGTGTGATTTGTGTTAATGTGAACACAGCTTCAGAGAGTGGTATTAATGTGTATTTGTGTGTATTTTCAGGTGAATGCAGTAGTCCTGCCAAAGTGTGAGCAGTACTTCAGAGAACAGGGTTATGACTTTAAGATCAGTAACGGACGAGTTGTTCTGGTCCGGAGGACTCGTCGGCTCGCCCGCCGGGAGAAGCGGGAGCAGGTGAGATGCTGGATTTGTTTCCTGTCACAGTTCGTTTCGAGTCCTGAGTTTATCCACTGATGTTTTGTTCGGGGCCTGCAGCACACCAGCATCCCTCTGGACCCAGGTCACGCCCTGCAGATCATTCCCCGTCAGAGGATCGCACATCAGCCGGTCACCTGGAGCGGCCTGGGATTGGTCAGAGTGTTGGAGGGGGCGGGGCTAAGGTTCACCGTGGACAACCTGCCCTCATCAATGGATTTTCATGTGGTGCTTCGCTACGAGATGGAGGTGAGAAGAACCTTTGGGGTCCTGGTTCTAGTTCTCATTCTGGTTCTGGTTCTGAACGCTAACCAATAAAAATTTCAAATGGTGTTAATGAGCAAATATTTTATATATATATATAAAACATGACTGATATTAAAAATAAAGCTGTTATTATGTTGTCTGGTTCAATTCAGCTTTCAAAGTTGTTTATTAATGTGTCAAAATGTTAGATTGTAAATAAACAATTGTATTAATATTAAAGTTAATGTAATAATATAAACTAAACTTTCCCTGAATGATGATTTTTATTTTCTACTTCTTCATCTTCAAATCAAATTTCTTTCCATGTATTTTAACGTTAGCTGATCTTCCTCTGTAGTCTCCATCTGATTGGTTGGCTTCAGTCAGCATCATCATGCTGACACCGGGCAATGGTGCCTGCAGCAGTGACCCAGCAGGAAGTAAACGTCTGACTCTCCCTGGAAGTTCCAGGTGAGAGACATCTGATTGGTTACGACTGAGATGTGACGTAAAAACACAGAAATAATCTGAGATGTATTTGTTTGTTTATGCTGTTTGTTAATTGTTGCCTGTTTGTTTACTGGTGTGTCTGTTTATGTTTTTTTTGGTTTACTGGTGGTTGTTGTGTGTTTGTGTTTTTTTACTGTTGTCAGTGGTTTATTTGTTTGTTGTTTATTTATCATTGTATGTCTGTGTACAGAGGAGCTATTCTGGACTCAACCACGTGTATGAACGCAGGAGGTCGGTACTTTGTGGACATCGTCTTTAACAAAGGGTCCGACTCGGATGGATCCCACATCCTGATCGACTCGGTGAGGAAGTCCTCCTGTGTTCACATAACACTCATTCTGAGTGGCTGACAGTTCTCTAAGCTCCTCCTCTGAACTGTGATTGTCAAATCAGAGCTCAGCAACTGTAATGAGTCACAGCAGGTGTGTTAGCGTTTGTATTTCTCCATAGAGTGAACAAACAGTGGGCATGAGGGTACACGGAGCTTTAGTCAGAGGGACTGAATCTGGAGGGTTGAATCTATTTGTCAGCTTTGTAAAACAAAAAACACAAAAGTGTGAGAATTAGCCTGTCTAAGCTGAGCGTCTGTCTGACAAAGATTCTCAGTGTAATGTAGTGATGATGTACTTCTGTGTGTAGATGGGCCTGATTCCCAGCATTGAGTCTGTGCAGGACTTTTGCTCCCAAAGTGACCTTGATTCTTTCCGCCACTTTCGCTGCATTGGATTGGCTGCTCAGCTTGACCCGCAGGAGTCGGTACCAGAAGTCTGTGAAGGACTCATTAAGAGCGCGTCGGCACGAATCCACAATGGAGCCGTTCGTAAGTAGTTCAACACACTGGGCCGTGTGGAAGTGACTGACTTTGCATCACTCTAATATTTTTCGATATTTTTTGAGCCTCTTGTCATGTAATTCTGTTGTGAGTTTATCTTTGCGTGTTGCCTGTCGTCAGTTTGCAGATGTAACGCCATTGGCTCTCTTGGACCAACCTGCAGTAAACTGGGAGGACTCTGTGAATGTAAGCCCAACGTCATCGGCCGCTGCTGTGATACCTGTGCACCAATGACGTTTGGCTTTGGACCCGATGGCTGCAAGTGTAAGAAACTGTCAAGGGCACCGCACGCAGGCGCCGTGTGACGTGAACACCAGCACCCATTATTTTCAATCAAAGCCCACACGCCAGTGACAGACTGACGTGTCAACACTTTAGGACACAATATGTCCTATTTTCCTGGCGTTGATGCGCATCAGAAGCATAACGTACAGAAGCGCTCACCCATTTTGGCTGTCCCGCACTGAATTCACACCGCTCCAGGTGTGTGTTACAGGAGTCGTGTAATGCATGTCACATGATGAGCCATGTAGCGGGGCCCTTCAGTCGGCACCTAAACACACCAATAATCCTACAGAAGGAAATTCTTCTGAAGCTTCTGTAAAAGGACAAATCAATGAAAACTAGTCCATGGTGAATTTTTTTCCTGCTGTCTCATTTGCAGCTTGTAATTGTGACCCTCGTGGCTCATTGTCAGAGCTGTGTGACCAGACCAGAGGTCAGTGTGCGTGTCGGTCAGAGGTGATGGGACGGCGCTGTGATCACTGTCTGACGGGGTTCTGGGGTTTCCCGTGTTGTCGACCCTGTGATTGTAACGGACTGTCGGAGGTGTGTGATGAAGAGAGCGGAGAGTGTTTGAACTGCAGGGAGCACACCACTGGAGCCTACTGTGACAGGTTATATATATATATAACACTGGACAAGTTATATACTATGTATGTGTGAATATATAACACCAGAACACACTGTGACAGGTTATATATGCTGTCATTCTAACTGGTACGACTACAGTAACTAACTTCCTAATAACGTGACTGTAAATGCTTTTTGAAGATATTATCTCAGATCTTTATGGATCTGTTCAGATCAGATCTACTGAATATTTTACTCTGAGAATGAGCAGGGAGGCAGAGTCCTGCACGTGTCCCGGTCCTCATTAAGACGCCTGTGTTACTGATGCAGGTGTGTGGAGGGTTACTATGGTAACCCAGTCTCTAGACAGCCCTGTCAGCCTTGCCTCTGTCCAGATGTTCAGAACAGCGGACGCTTCTTTGCCACTTCCTGTCAACATGACCCGCAGTCCCTTAGTCTGACCTGTGTCTGCAGGAAGGGGCACACAGGTAAGAGCTGGCCTCTGGGTCTCACCTGTCTGCACATGCTCAAATTAGTTCCTGTTCCTGTTGGGTCAGTATGCTGCTCACCAGACATGGAAGATCAGGGTGCGACCTTGTCACCTCATTTGACATCAGAGAGACAGACAGGTGTCAGACCGCAGTGATTCTGTGAGCCAGTGTTCAGGTGTGTTGAAGAACAGAGAGAAGAGAGTTCTGTTTATGTGAATAGACCTTTGCTTTATTTACATTAAACACGTGAACCCAGTGAATATGTCTCGACAATAATCACTCTCTCAGGTCCACACTGCGACAGGTGCAGCCCTGGTTTCTATGGTGACCTGACGTTGCCAGGTGCCAGCTGCCAGGAGTGTCCCTGCAACAACAACACCGACCCAGATGACCACGATGCCTGCGACAGCCTGACCGGCGAATGTCTGCGCTGCCTCCACAACACGATGGGACCACGTTGCCAAAACTGCAAACCTGGTTACTATGGCAACGCGCTGGCCCAAGACTGCAAAGGTAAAGACAAGAATGTGACAATAATAAACTGTTCTCTGTATGGCAGATATACGTAGTTCATGTATGAGATGTATTTAATGTGCATTTCCCAGTATGCTCCTGTGACCGGCAGGGGACGGAGGTAACTCGGTGTCCTCTGGGGAGTCCCTGTTTTTGTGATCCAACGACAGGACAGTGTCCCTGCAGGAGGGGCGTGGTGGGGGTCCTGTGTGACGAGTGCGAGGACGGATACTGGAACCTGGACGGAGCGTCAGGATGTCAGCCCTGCAGCTGTGATCCAGTTAACTCTGTGTCCAACATCTGCAACAAGGCAAGACCTGCACAGGCTGCAGACGCTGTCCTGTTCAGTCCACGGTCCAGGTTTTATTCGGTGTTGCCACTCAGACACTGTTCTCTATAGTATGCAGCTCACACTACAGAATCACATGAACCACACTGAAAGTTTACATGTTCACATCAGACAAGGTGACGATAAAACATCCGAGTCTGAGCCTCCACACGTCACTAAGCTGTTCAGGTTTATTGTATAACACATTTCCAGAGTTTTTCCACAATAAAAGACATAAAATTGAAACAAAGTACTAAATAATTACATACAATAGATGGCTGAGTGATAATGAAACGCTTTTTGAGTGAAGCTGTGATGTGTTCAGGTGACGGGACAGTGTCCGTGTCATCCAGAGTTTGGAGGGAGACAGTGTGATGAATGTGGGGAAAACCATTTTGGGAGCCCAGACCTGCAGTGTATCTGTGAGTGACCGTGTAAACACACTGTTCTGTGACAGAGCCCCAGGTTGTTGCGTCATCCATCATGTCTCATTCTCAGCCTGCGACTGTAACCTGGAGGGAACCGAGCATCCGTCATGTGACCCTGAAACCGGCGAATGCATCTGTCGCATTGGCGTCACTGGTATCTTCTGTGATGATTGTGCCCCTGGCTACAGCTCAGCATTCCCGGGCTGCGAGGAGTGCCACCCCTGCACCGCCCTCTGGGCTGAAAACGTCACCGACGTCCAGCGAGCCACCCAGAGGATGAATACCTTCATCCCCCGCCACAGCGAGAACCTGCAGCCTGGACTCTACCAGCAGCGGATGCTGGAGATGCATGCCAAGCTGGGTGACCTCGCCAACCTGACAGCACTCTCTCCGTCAAAGGTGGAAAAGACAGAGAAACTGTGTGTGAAGATCAGGTAAGTTCTACAGCTACTGACCCAAAGAAAACAGCAAAACAAAACATTTCCCTCCTGCTCTGGCACAGATCCTTTAAAAACCATGTTGCCTGGTGTGTTTTTCTTCTGATGCTGACTGTAAAAAGTCCTGTCACCATCCGACTGCTGCAATGGGGAAACTCAGTAATTAAACATCTGTAAATACTGTACATCTGACAGGAAGCTGAAAGACGCCATCGACCCCAACGTGATCCTCTTCAACCCCTCGAATCTCCTCAACACTGAAATTGACACTATTCAACTGGAGTTCAAGAAGCTGCTGAACAACCTAAAGGAGAAACTCGTCACGGACCCAGACGATAAACAAGAAGAAGACCTGCAAGGTACAGTGACCTGTACGACCTGTAACGAGTCCCTGGTTGAGGCTGTACCTGAGTCTGGGACTTTCAGGTCTAGAAAACCTGTGTTAGATAAGAACTTTTCACAGCAGTGAAGTCCGCTGGTCTCCTAGAAACATTCAGAGGTCAGACAGAGTTTTTGTCCTCAGATGTTTGCCTCCACACAGTCCGATGGTCTGCAAAGAGACGCTTCAGGCTCATGATCTGTGCTGCTGTCAGACTGGACTTCATGCCTCTCTCACTTCAGTGCAGAATAACACTAGACATGTTCACTTTCTGCCCCACTCACAGCTGACGTGTTACCTGGATCAGCTGATGCAGGTGTAAATGCAGCTGAACGCAGTGACAAAGACATTGTGTAGAATTAACTTTAAGCCCTTTTAAATTAAATCACTAACGGAATAAAGTGCAGAAAATATTGACGTCTGAATATTTTCAGAAGCCGTTTCATCATTTACAGATTCTTTGAATAGAAATATAAAAATATCACAGAGAGAGAGAGAGATCTGATTCTCCTGAAGTGTGCAACTAGAAACGTTTCTGTCAGGAGTAGCAGTGACATTTTTGATGTTAAAAGACATTCATACCTGTGATCAGAGCAGAACCGAGTGAACGGGAGTCCGTAGAAAATGTTTACTGTGGACTTGAAAAGAGATGGTGCTGCTACTTCAGCCTGTTGTGCTGTGTTGTAGAGCTGATGGCAGAGATCCAGCAGCTTCATAAAGACTTCATGTCAGACGAGAAGAGGGTGAGAAACGCCATCGAAGCTATGGAGGACTCCATGGATACCAGACAGGAAGCCAAACACAAACTGAGCATGTGTAGTAGCAGAGGTGACCTGGCGCAGCTGGAGAAGAGGATCAAAGATCTCAGCGTGGTCAACCTCAACAGACAGGTGAGGTTATACCTGCAGAGTCACATGATGGGAAACATCTAGCTCTCCTCTGATATGTGAAGGTTGTTTGTATGAGAAAGTAAATGCTGTGACCTTCGTCCAGGAGAGCTGGGTACGGAGCCACCGCTTTGTCTGGCTCCTGTAGTCCATCCAGTCAGGCCACATCAGAGCTCTCACAGACTGCAGAGAAACGGTCACGTTACAGCTGCAGTTTCAGCCCTGACAGTCTAACTAATGGCCAGCTGGTGGGGTCTGACTGGCCTTTCATGCTTTGGATTTCTTTAGTCTGACAGACTGATGTGGTGGCTGCCTGATGTGAACCTAAATCTTCATGTAATATAAAGTAGTAATCTGGTGATTAAACCATAAACTCTGTCATAACATTTTAACACGCCCATGTCAAGCAGAGGCACATCATTAAAGCAGTAATAATCAGGGACTGGGGATGAACTGAGTCGATGGGTCTGATCACATCAGTTTGAACTGGATGTGTGTTTCTCTGGATTTTGGATGCAGCTTTATGTCTCTTCCTGCTGCACTTAACAATCTAGTGAATGCCGTGTCCTTCAAGCCTCTCAGCAGCTTGCTGTGGTCTGATGCAGATCTGTGGAGGACTGGGTCTGGAGGGCTGTTCAGGATGCGGTGGAGCTCTCTGTTTCCTGGATTCGAGAAAAAGGAAATGCGGAGGTCTAAACTGTGACGGAGTTGTTCCCTTCACTCAGAAAGCTGCAGAAACAGCGGAGAGCGCCAGGGACCAACTCGCTACACTCCCATCTAGACTGGAGGAGTCTGAGAGCAAGGCAGGTCTCCACTGGGTTGACTGGTGCCAGTCCTGATCCGGTCCACTTTGTGCATGGGCGGTTCATATAAACCAGTTTTTAATTAAGGTTAAGGTTAAAAGGGTTTTTTTCCACAGCCAAACTGATGTAAACAGCTTTTGGTTAAGATTATCAAAGGTGGGCAGAGCCATCCACTCATTGTCCAGTTTATTAGGTACAGCCAGCTCCAGCTAAGTCTGTAAACGCCAGCAGTCCTGTAACAAATCATTTTGGAGGGAGAAGTTTTAGGTAAATGAGTTCATCTGATGGATGAGTGGTCTCAGTGCTGAGCTGAAACTTTGCTGTTGAACTGCAATAAAGCCTCTGATACTGCGGCTTAACTCCCAACTATAACATCAATCAATCAATCAATCAGACAAATTCTTTTTGCCATGTGTATTACAATACAAGGGGTTTGATTCCAGTTCAGTGTGTGTGGCACAGGACCAGGACTGTACAAGCTCAAACACAGCGTTTCACTGTAAATTAAATGTCATAACGGTTCATTCTGGTCTAGATCAGTGATGCCAAACAGGCGGGTCAGGATGCCAAAGACCAGGCCAGAGACTTGCAGGACCAGATCAACAACAACATAGACTCCATCAGGAGGGAGAAGAACAAAACCAGGGAGCTCCTTCAGCGAGTAAAAGCCTTCCTGATGGGTCAGTGCTCAGGTGATACTGTGGGAGCCTGGTCCTCACCGGCAGGACTTCAGTCGGTTGGTGACTTCTGAGCAGACACTGGCTGACGTGAGGCGCCAGTATCGGTTTGATTCTCAGAGATTAAGGTCTTAGTGTCATCACAAACAGCTCACAAGACTGAACATGGATAAAATCTAGCGCATGAACACATGTATTGATAAGATGGAAAACAGTTCATGTACAGTTTTTAACAATCAACCTCATTCGTCCTGTTTCCCCTCAACAGATGAGATGGTTCCTTCAGAAGACATTGAGAAAATGGCTCAAGCTGTTCTGGACATCCAGCTGCCGCGATCACCTGATCAGATCCGATCAATGATCAGTGACATCACTAATCTACTGTCCAGTGCTACAAGTTTCCAGGTTGACCCGAAGGACTTGGAGGAGGGCGCCAGGACAGCCCAGGACCTGCTGCAGAAAGCTCGGGACCTCAGGTCAGCGTCTGAAAACACAGACTGACCATCAGCTCTGTGACAACACCAAGCTTTATTTAAAACACTAAGGTAAATGAAAATATGGTACCTCTGTCAGGAGGTCAAAAGAAATCGGCAGGATCATCCTCCATGGATTTAAAACGCTAAGATAAATGAAAATACGGTACCTCTGTCAGGAGGTCGAAAGAAATCGGCAGGATCATCCTCCATGGACTCCAAAGCTGACTTATTGATTGGTGATTGACTGAACACTAACATGACATCTGACCCCAGCTCTTCAAGCTGTGTTCTTATTGTGTCTTATGTTTAGGGAGAGGACAAAGGATGTTGATGTGACAGAAATCAGCAGAGATATTTATGAAGCGGAGAAAGCTCAGGACAAAGCCAACGACGTCCTGGAGTCAGCCAGCCAGGACAGAACCACGACCAAGGACCGAGTCCAAGATGTAAACAGTGAAAATCTCTGCCTCGTCAGTTCAGTGCTGGCTGTTTTCAGTGTTTTAACATGCTTCTTCTGTCACGTTTCAGATTAAAGACAGACTGAACGGCATCGAGACGAAGCTGATGAATGGACGACCTGAAGATTTGCAGAACGAGACTGAAGCTCTGAAGAAGAAAACCGAACAGAACAGAGAGATGGCGAGAGAGGCCCGAGAGGCTGCAGACTCAGCTTTAAACGAGACTGCTGACGCGGGAATGGTGGGTTTATAACGAGCCTACTGACACACAGAGGGAAACGAGGGGTATTTGTAGTGTTTGGTTACTGTCGCTTCACCTGTCAGGTACTCACAGTACTGTAGTATTTGCATACACAGAACAGACACCCATCAACCGATCAGTGTTTGTGATGTGACGTCTCTGACAGGAGCTGGACGGCGTGATGAAGCTGTTTGAGGGTTTAAAGCAGAGGAACTCGACTCCGACGCTTCAGGGCGAAGCCAGCGAACGACTGAGGAACATCATGCAGGAGGTGGAGACCATGAGGAGACGGGTGGAGGACAAACTCACTCAGATACTAGGTAGCACTCATCCTTTAATCTGTAGTGTTTAGTCTGTTGATTGTACATGTAAATTATTATCGAGGGTTATTGTAGCTAAAGAATCAGTGAGAGGAACAAGAGTAATATTTACAGCATTAGTAGTACTGCACTATTATCCTTGGTAGTATTTGCAGTAACACTACATCATGTGTATATCATTGTGTTTTCTGCGTATACACAATGTGTATCTTTGTGCTGCAGACCTGGAGGAGAAGCTGCAGCAGCTGCTCAGGATGAAAGAGGAAAAATCAGCTGAAGTCTTGTTGTTGTTGGAAACAGTGAATTCACTTCAAGAGGAAATCTCTAAACGAGTTGATGGATACACCAGCTGTATATCATAAATACTACAGAGTACTGCGGCTCATGTATGCTACAGAGTGCTAGATATGGAAATATTGTACCTCATAAGTACTAGAGAACAAAATACATTATTTTTGTTTTCTTTGTCTCAAAAATGAAAAAACTCTGTTTTCATTTATTTCACACATTTTCAGTTTTCTCTTTGTATAGCACGTTTTCTGGTGACTAGAAATGAATATTTGTTTTCAACTGGTTCAGTGAAAGGTTGAAGAAATTTTTGAGTTTCTCTTTTTTTGCTTTCACAAAGTGAGTGCGTGGCTGAAAACATCACATCTGTTCACCGCTTTGACTAAATAATTTAACTGTTTAATAATCAGTTCAGTGTTTCACACCAGCTTCAGAATATTTCAGGTTTTAATTTCTCACAGAAAACAGGTGTGAATTTAAAGTTGTACCACCAGTGTACTCGCTGTTGCATTTGTGACTTGTACTTCTGTTCCTGACCAGCAGAGGACTCTCACTCCAAACACTACCCAGAAGGGTTTTATCAAACCAACAGAGCAGAAGAAACTCTGTCAAACAAAGCATTTTCTGAAACATGTAAACCACAAGAAAACAACAAGAAAGTAATAAATGTGTTGTCAGTTCCACCTTTACCAGCTGCAGCATTAAAGTGATGAACGCAGTAGCGCATCAGTCACTATGATCCAGTATCAGAGACGTTACAGTGTTACTTTTGGTACTTCAATGTATGTTTTGATGCTAATACTTTTATACTTTACCTTAAGTAACATTTTGAATGCAGGGCATTTACTTGTAACAATGCTTTTACACTGTGGTATTAGTGCTTTTACAGGGTCTGGGTACTTGTTCCAGCGCTGATCAAAGGCAGTTGTAAACTGCAGATCAGTGTGAAGACAGTGAGGACACATCTGCTCCTCACACTGTCACAGGGCTGTCTGACAGCTTTGAAGTTCACTGGGGGAAATACTATTACCCTGTTTTTGTGTATTGTTGTTTGTAATACTTTTGATGCCTTTTTGTAACTTTTTATTTTAAGACTAAATGTTCTTTCTGGCTTTTGACTCCTTACCTGACTCCAAAGGAGAGCTGCACAAGAATTCCTATATGCCTAGACCGTCTGTTTATGCATAAATGGCAAATAAAAAACTTGACTTGACTTGACTTGAGACCTGGTTTCAGGGTTCGGGTTAGACGTTAGGTGTGGTGGTAGCCTCGTAGCCCTGGGGAAGGTGTGGCTTATCCAAACTAGTAGCGTGTGACTGGACCCTGTGCAGGGTCTGTAGGGTTTAGCGGGTTAAGGGTTACAGCAGGGGGCCAGGGGATGTGTTACAGCAATGAGTGTCCTCACAAAGCTAGAAAGACCAATGTGTTTGTTAATGCTTTTTCCATCCACTTGTTCATGTTTGTCCTCAGACAGATGAGCTGCTCTCTGATTGGCCGAGGGCTCGTCTCCGCAGGCCACCACACGTTCACAGCCATTACCCACAGTGCTCCGAGGGCACACACACATTGAGTGAGTCTTCAGATGTTCAGGTGGGGGGTCCCAAACACATCCCCCCCACACACACAAGACCTCACCTGCAACAACAAAGCAGCAGGAGGAGGTGTGTGTGTGTTGGGGGTGTCAGGAATGTCTTTTGTCTGCTGCAGAGGAGTGGGGGGTGGGGGAAGGGTACACCCAGCCTCCTTCTTATCCACCAGGTTCAGAACGACAGAAGAAAATGACTAAGTGTAAAAGCTGTGGAGTTAAACCGCTGCAGGTAAATCACAGCTAACTAATCTCCCTAGCTCCAAACCGTGTCCCATTTAAATCCAGATGTGGAGTGGCTGGGGAGCTGCTGCTGCCATTAGAAGGAAATGACCTGCAGTCCGCGCTCAGGCTGGACTCCTTGTTTCCTTTGGCAGTTGTAAAGTTTTGTTTTCTGAAACTTCATATGAACCATTTAATAGCTTTTAATCGTTTGAGCTCTCGGTAGATATTGGTCTGTTTTATTGCTTGTTTTACAGCTGTGACTGTCTCTTTGGGTAAAAAGGGATTGTGATCTCAGTATCTGTAACTGATGATCAATTAGACAAAGATCAGATCTGTCCACTGCAGACAGACTGTACTCCACTGATCATATGGTGTTGGTGCATAAAATTGAGTCAAGTTCCTCAGAAAGAAACAGGAAGTCAGGCCGGTTTATTCAGACTTAAAGCCTCAGACTGAAGGCGGAGCATTAGCAGTTCATTTTGTGATAAGATTTATTTTTGGGTTTTAAACTCTGTAGTAGTTTCATTTTGTTTGGTTGTTTAAAAACACTTCTGTTGTTATTGGTGGTTTTTAGCTGTTTTTCTATTTTTATTCATATTTTCAGCAAAAATTACACAGAAATAAACAGAAGAAATTTTGTTGGTGGATAAATAAATAAAGCAAGTTCAAACATTTGGACATTTTATGAAAACACCAATATAAAGATAAAAATGAGAAATAACACTTGAAAATATATGCCAAAAGTCAAGTACACATCCATTTGTAATGTAGAGCTGAATGTTTATTTAGCATCATAAAATCACCTCTTCCATCTTCTTTCATGTAAAGTTTATCTTGTTCCTGATTTGAGTTTTTACTTTCAGTCCTTTTTTGTCATAAATGCATGAACACCACTTCTGTAAAACGCCTTTAGAGACTTTGTTTTATTTTTGTAGTTTTAGGAGTTGTTAAAATCTTCCAACGTTGTTTCTGTTTTGTGTTGCATTAACCCTGCATTCTACTCTTACTGTTGCACAGTTAAAGATTCTACAAATATACATGGCTGATGGCTGGTTTAACTTTGAAAGTCAGCCCGGATGTCGCCGGTGCATCTACAGAGGCGGAGTTCGCCATGGTCTGAGGGGGTCTGCTGGGTGTAGGGGGTCCCGGTCTGTACAGGTCTGCAGGAGCAGGGCTACAGACGGTCTCCGGTCGAGGTTTTCCCACAGGCCCAGGTTTGTGGAGGATCCGCAGCATGTTGCAGCTTCAGCTCGTGGTTCTGCTCGGTGAGTTTCACTGTGAAACGTTCTGCCTGATTTTAGTGTAAGAAGTTTGATGTGGTACGTTGGAACCCTGTGAATCTGATCTGTGATCAGCCCTGATCCGGACTGGAGCGGGTTAAAAACCCAGTTCTCTTCCCTTCTGTGCTGAAACTTTGTTAAAGTTCCGAGTTTTTCTGGAGCAAAAGCTCAGAGAAGAGAAAACTAACGGGCTCCGTTTCAGCTCCTTGCTCGGAGTTTCATTAAATAAAGTTTGAATTAGACCCGACTCGATCAAAGTAATCAGTAACTTTTTCTATAGTTAATTAATCACTGAACTCATTAGTCAAACTTTCATCCTGTTTCCAGTTTCTCAATGGTCGTTTTCTGTTTCTCCATTTTCTGTTTAATCTCTTTTAGAAAATAAAATAAAGTTATGGACTAAGTGATGAATTAGTTGATGAAGAAAACAGATTGATCAGTAATGAAAATGTTCGTTAGTGGCAGAGAAAAGGTTGAACATACTGTTCAGACTGATTAAATCACAGCAGTGAATCTGATCACAGATCAGTTTTCTAAATGCAATGTGACTATTTGATTGTCAAACAAGCAACTTAGTATCTAATCAATTAATCAGTTTATTTTAACTAAACGTAAAATAAAAGTAGAAGATGTGACTTATTTTACTACAGCGTTTCCCTAAGAATCCATCTCTTTTTGCTAAAAAGTTCTCTATGCAACTTTACTCTCTTCCTCGTTGGTATTATTATTTATACACCATGAATAGTTTTGATGCCTGATCTCAGATCAGCTCTGAATGTTTTAACCAAACTGTTTAAATTGGGTTCATTCTGTTACACTTTCCCAATGTTGTACCCGGTACTTTTTACCATACTGACTCTGAGAGACGAGACAGTCCAAGTAACTTCAAAACAGTGCTGATTTATTGAACACAGGTAAAATTAACATTACACGCTCAGGTATCTTCCACCTCCAACCTGCACGCAGGCAGATGAAAGATGAAAGACCCTGAACCCACCAGGCCTATACATTATATCCCCTTCGGTTGGGCTAGCCCCATACTACACAGGAACGTCAAACCATGACGTGTCCCTGTTACCAGCCTTGCAGCTGGCCATAGCAGTAGTCAAAACATGCAGTAAATCAATGTGTGTGTGTCTGTTGGTGTGTAGCTAAAAACATTCTCACACGACCTCTAGTGACATGTCATGACATTAGACATAAGAAAATATTATGGCTAAGGCTACAGTTATACACATCATAATAATAATATTAAACACCCTGTCTGCTGACAGTCATCAACTCTTCTCTCTAGTTATCCTTGACCAGATGTACCCTGTAGAAACTCATGAGCATGACTAAGCATTTAACAGTCTAACTAGACATCCTATCTCCACTAAACATTTCTAATACATAAAGTATCTATCCAATTTCTATCTGACTAAAAATACCTAACACCAATAAAGCTGCGTTTCCACTACAGGAACCTAACGAACGGTGCACCCCGTACTTTCCTTAACCATCATCGAGCGTAGCCTTCTGTCCTGTTTTGTTTCTCCACTGTACTTTCTCTGTGTCGGTCTCTTTTTAGAGCAGAGAGGGGCTGCTCCTCTCCTCACACACAGTCAGCTGTGTGTTTACACACTGTGCTAATAATGCTAATGACTGAGGTGTGAGGATGCGGATGTTTAGCCAGTCACTGGCAACTGCCCCATGTGCACACACACCCTCCCCCTGTGCAGTCCTGGTACTTGATTTTAGTAGTACCGCCTGAGGGGTGCTGAAATTTAGCTCCTAGAATGCACCTCCAAAACGGGTCAAGTGTAGTGGAAAGAAATGCAGAACCTGCAACGAGCATCGCTCGACATGACATTTTGCTAGGTTCTTGTAATGAAGAAACCCCTTAAGAGTCTCTGATCTCAGCTCTGCAGGTGTTTACCTGCGCTCAGGAGGACGGGCCCCTGGTGGGTGGGGCCCTGGTTGATGTCAGCCTCCCGGAGCTCAGCGACGTCTGCACTGAGGGTAGCTGTTACCCGGCAACAGGAGACCTTCTGATTGGCCGAGATCAGCAGCTGTTGTCCACCTCCACTTGTGGTCTGAACCTACCTGAACCGTTCTGCATTGTCAGCCACCTACAGGTAAATAACACCTGAGCAATACAATATACAGGTAAACAGAAGCTACCTGCAGGCAAACAAAGCCTCAGGTGGAAGCATTTTTCAGTGTAGTCAGTTTGTTTCAGCGGGTTCACTGTAAATCGATGTGAATGTTCATGTTTCTTCAGTGAACTTCCGCAGGTAAATTCACCCATTGACCAATCACAGATTGTCCTGATGGAGCTGAGCGTTGACTTCAACACAGAGGAAGTAGTTTATTATCTGTATCACCATCCAGTTTCATGAAAGCCCCTCTGTCACTCCAGAAACAGTTTCAGTTTGAGTCATTTTCATTAGTTGTAGTTAAATGTGTTTTGGATGTTGTCTGAAGTTTACGTTGTTTTCTGACAACATCACCAGGTTTGTTTTACAGTTCTGCTTCCTGAGGAAACGATCATCGGATTTTAACTCCCACACAGTTGGTCTGCTGCAGCCGGCCTGGACGCTCAGTGTGTGTGTGTGTGTGTGTGTGTGTGTGTGTGTGTCTGCAGCGTTTCCTGTCTAACCTGAATTCCCTATAAGGAAACATCGAGCTCAGGCAGCAGATACGTTTGTCCAGATGTTCCTGTGGAGTAAACACAGATCACTCAAAGATCAAAGGTCACATTGGATACTAGATAAACTGAGCATGCTCAGTCAGTGGTGTCACTGGTTTCTTCCCAGTGAGTCTGTAAAGTGGCTGCAGACCAGTGTTGTCATTTCAGAGTGAGATGTTCCAGTTCAGGCTGAACTCAGATCAGCACACTGAGGCTCTGGGGATGCAGTTTCCTCTAAACAGGCAGGAGGAGACAACATGCATGATACACAGCATAGACTGTATATAAGTATGGATGGCGTGTCACCATTTCCTGCCACTACACAGACTCAAAGCCAAAATGTTGGAAACACGTGGGCGGCCATTTTGCTTCTGTGATGCATTTGGCAGCCACATTCTGTGCAGTAGTGACCAGAGGTGGAGCCGCGGTATCATGCTGCCAGTCAGAGCTGTTGATCATCCAAAAGTAAATAACTTTATAAAAAGTTAACTTATCAAAAAACAACAACTTGTACACAAAGTGCGATAATATCTACCTGAAAGGACTGAAATGTGCTCTGGGAACATGTATTTGGTTTGTACTTTGAATTGTTAGTTTGACTCATGTCAGAGGCAGTTTCTGTTTCCCATCAGCCCCTCATGATTCACCTGTTATATTGGTAACACGTGTTATTCTGTGTGGTTTTACAAAGCTCTTTAAAAGCCCTAAACTTAACTTGGTGAACAGATGTGAGAGAGAAATAAGATCAGATAAAGATTCTTCCAGTTAAATCAGTAATTCATCTGACCGGCTGCAGGAACTCTGTGCTAATAATAATGTAATGTAAATTCTCCTGAACAAGCCGAGGTCATAAGACGAGTCGAGTTTCATACCTGAGTTAATACGACACATATTAACATATTAGATTTGTAGAAAGGCCCCAATGGTCACGTCACTATGTCGTGACCATTGGGGTCACGACACAGTGACCGAATGTTGGCTTGAATATGACTTATGTTCAGGAGGCAGCTGTTAAAGTAACGTTATAAACTGAACACTGACTAAGACCAAAGAGGATCACTGGTGTTTCTGAGGTCAGCGTGTCCCGACGACAGCATCAGTCGAGTATTACAACTTTAACCCGAGCAAAGTTTTTCTTCTACGTCGGACATTTGATTTTATACTTGTGAAAACAGGAAGTGAGTCACAAACCAGCTGGTTTATAAAGTTGTGGTCAGAAGGTTTTCTCTTATCTCCACCAACAAACAGCAGAAAGGAATCTCAGGAATTCACATCACCATTAACCCTTTGCTACCCTCCTCTCTCTCTCTCTCCTGCCTGTCCCTGTCTCTCTCTCCTTCTGATTAACCAGGAGGAGAAGAAGTGCTTTCTGTGCGACTCGTCGGTGCCGTACAATGAGCGGGCCAATCAGACGAGCAGCCATCGTATCGAGAATGTCGTCACCACGTTTGCTCCAAACAGACTGAAGACCTGGTGGCAGTCTGAGAATGGTGAGAAGCCAAACAAAGAGAGGTCAGAGGTCGAAGGTGAACGCCTCCTCAGCTTCAGTCTGACGTGTCGGGACAGGATTCACTTCAGGACCAGAAAGTTCTTGGTGCTTTTTGTTCCCAGGAACTGTCGTCCAAGAACGTTCCCTGGGGTAAAAGTCCCTCGAGCACTTTGGCCGAAGCCCCAGGCAGTTTACCAAATTAGTACATGAGCTGCACAACAGTCGGCAGCGGGCTGTTAAGAACGGCTGCCTCAGGTAAAGTGCAGTGCGGTAGTCCAGTGACACCTTCACTGTGTCACTGCACTGACTCCATTCAAGTTAGTAAGATGCCAGCACAGTTAAAGTCAGACTGACCGCAACCCGACATGTCTCCAAGATAAGTGGTTGTCAAGCTGTGGGGTGGAGCCCTCCCACGGATCGGAGAGTAATTAAAGTCTGTGCTTATGTTGGGGAGGGGGTTGTACAGGAACAGGACGTTTCCACAGCAGGAACTTTCAGAGGATCTCAGGAACAAAACCTGCATTTAGACCACGTTTAGTTCCAGCTGTAAAACGGCTCCTGTGGGGGGGTCGGTAAGTGTCAGGGTTAGAGTTAGGTTTGTCATAGAACAGTCAGACACACCAACATGTTTCAGTCTCATTTTCATCTGTCACAGCAGACGTCTCTACAGTACCTTCAGACGAGGTGGAAGCACGTGTCTGTTTATGACAGAGATTCTGCTTTGTTGGCCCTTAGTCTTTTTACGGCTGGCATAATGTCGCCCCAGTGTAATTTTCACACTGATACCAGCTTCCTGGTGTTAGAGGTGTGCATCAGAAATACCTGCCTGTCACACTGATGCGTTCAGCAGAGGCTGAATAGAGCAGTGATGTATTCTGCTCATCCTGCATGTTGACGACATGATTCGCACTCAGTTGTTGTACACAGTGTACAACAGGTTGCCTGTTTCTAACATGCCTCCTCTCACCATTTACGCAGAGGCTGAGGCAGAGCAGCTGTTTTACTACCTCTGGTGGTGGAATAAAGGAGAGTCCACACTAAACCCCCATGCTAGAGTGGAACCTTCTATACAGTGTGGCGGCAAATTGGCGCAATAATCCCACCCTGAATGGGGAGCGTTAAATGGGCTGCAGACAGAAATCACCGAAATAGACTTTTACTTCAAGTTCTGTTCAGGGTTCAGTAGTTTGTGTTACACTTTAGTCCAAAAGGATTTAAAGAGTTTTTCACAGAAGCCATAAGTTTGGAGGTTTCCTCATTCACTTTAAAGACAGCAGCATCTGGTGGACGCTAGAGGAAGTGCAGCTGAGCCGACATGAGGCTGAGGTGTAGCAGTGTCCGCCATGACCGGGGGCCCAGACAGTACGTTACTGATGGTCTGCTGTGCTGTTGCCTGCAGGGCTGGAGAATGTCACCATCCAGCTGAACCTGGAGGCAGAGTTTCACTTCACACACCTCATCATGACCTTCAAGGTGAGTTCCACACCAGTGCACACAGCAGAGGATTCTGGGTAACCACACACTGTTAATTCCAGTCATAATTTTAAAGGGACAGTCCACTTAATTAATATTTTACAAGTTTTTACAGTTTAATACTGATGATCAGTCTTCCTTAGCCTGATGGTGATGTCATCAGGATTTTCTTGGCCAAGTGCATCATGGGAAATGTAGGGTAGGGTGTTTGTGGACTAAATGTTTGTATATACGCTGCTCATTCTGTTTTTAGTCTGTCTCACAATGACTGCTGGCACCCCACTGAACGTAGTAATCAACAATAGATGCTCAGCAGACCACTGTGCACCACTGATAGTATCATTATCAATATTTAAAGACAGTGAACTGTAGTGACCGGGGCTTAAAGGAGCTTTACACGTCCTGTGTTGCTGGTTCCCGATCACTACAACGTCTCATCAGTTTTAGTTAAAGATGTTTTTCTCTCCTCAGACATTTCGTCCTGCTGCCATGGTGATCGAGCGGTCGGCTGACTTTGGGAAGACGTGGCAGGTTTACCGTTACTTCGCCTACGACTGTGAGACGTCCTTCCCATCGATTTCCAAGGGTCCAATGAGGAAGGTCGATGATGTCATCTGTGACTCGCGTTACTCCGACATCGAACCATCTACTGAGGGAGAGGTACTGCAGTATTCTGATACTCCTACTGCAGTACTCCAGTGCTCCTGCTGCAGTAGTCTCATGCTCCTACTACTTTTCTGAGGGTTTACTCGCTGACAGGAAGTCAGCATATCCAGCGGGTTAAATTAGAAATGATGTCATAACTGACTGGATGAGATGACACTGTGATGTCATCATCATGAGTCATTTTTTAAATAAAAATAAAAAATTTGGTGAAATGTCCCTTTTTTTTCCCTCAGGTCATTTTTAGAGTTTTGGACCCGGCATTCAGGATCGACGACCCCTACAGCCCCAGAATCCAGAGTACGTCTCTTTGCACCAGACACTAACAGTACAGTCTGTCAGGGATATTGATCAGTTAATGACCTGTTATTGATTATTTGGTTCAGACATGCTGAAGATCACCAACCTGCGGGTGAAGTTCACCAAGCTGCACACGCTCGGAGACAACCTGCTCGACTCTCGTATGGAGATCAAAGAGAAGTATTACTACGCTGTCTACGACATGGTGGTCCGAGGAAACTGCTTCTGCTACGGACACGCCTCCGAGTGTGCCCCCGTCGGGGGAGCCAGACAGGCCAGGGAGGGCATGGTGAGTCATGAATGGGGGGCCAGGTAGATGAGCTGTGAAGGGTATGGGGGTAAATCCCAGTTCCCTTAATTGCATCCATGTTTCTCTCACTTACGACTTAGTCTATGTAAAATGTGTGGAAAGTCCAGATGACACATTAGAGAAATGATCCTTCATCTGATGCGTCCAGTCACCATCTGATAAAGGGGCGTGTCAGTCCATAAAAGGCTTCCGTGAAGGACGCTCTCATGTGTCCTGGCTCCTCCAGCAGCCTCCTCGCTCCTCCTTCTTAAAATATTCAAACATCTGTACAACTTTCAGTAAGTCCTGATATAAATAAAGTCATTGCTGATTATATCAGCAGGATGTGCTCTCTGTGTCTGCATGTGATTATTGATTATTGATCACCATTACTGCGTGTATCTGACAGCTGTGTGGTGTGTCTGCAGGTTCATGGTCACTGCATGTGTAACCACAACACTAAAGGTCTGAACTGTGAACGGTGTCAGGATTTTTACCATGACCTTCCCTGGAGACCAGCCGAGGGACGCAACACCAACGCCTGCAAGAGTGAGTACATACTGGTCTCTACTGGTGTGTGCTGGTTTCTGCGGGTCTTTAACGCTTTCTGCCATTCTGCCCCAGTCTGTACTTGTTTATACTTGTCTTTTCTGCTCTCTATTGGTCTGTAATGGTTTACAGTTTATCCATTTGAAAGTAGTAGTGAAATGAAATGGTCTTTTTGTGTTTCTAAACAGTCAAGAAATAAAATCAGACATCTGCTGTTTAAAATCTGTCCTGACTTTAAAGTCCAATGTGCCACTTGTTGTCCTGATTCAGCCTGATTGACTATTGATGGCTGATGATAGGTCAATCACTGCGAGAGCTGCTGCGGAC